TGCACTCTTTGTTCCCCTAATTTAGAAGAAAGCCCACTCCTGAGGAGATGGCCTATTTTATTTGTCTACTGTCTAGAACTCAGTTGTCAGTTAAATACACTCATCAGAGAATCGAAGACTTCTCATCACAAGAGAAGAACAAATAACGCTCTTAAACTAAATAAAAGCGACACAACATGCTGCAAGCATGTTCTGATGAGCCTTCTCAAGCTGTTCCAGTCTGTCAATATCACTCCCCGTAAGTTAAAGGAGCTTAACTTTAAGAATAAGAGAAATGATTCTTTTATAGGTTCAACTCACAGATTTGTCAGTTATAAAGAAAAAATGGTTTTAATATTCTTCCAGTAAAAGTAAACAAAGTCTTATCACTGATGATTTGGAAAAGATAGTAATAATCAACCACCCTAAGAAAACCATCAGCAGTTTTTGTAATTTGGGGAGGAAGTGTCCTCCATTTAAAATTGTTTATGTCATTTTAATGTTAGTGTAAATTATAGAGTGGGTATCTTCCAACCTGTCTAACAGAAAAAATAATTATATATCATCATAAAAGAAGAATAAATGATCTAATGGTTACTACTGAGTATTGCTTACTAGATGTAGGCACTTTGCTAATACTCCCCATGCAGCAATCATTTAATTTTCATAATAGCCTATGTAGTCACTGCTTTTATGTTTCCAATTTTACAGACGAGAAAACTGAGGGTGGGAGAAGTTAAATAACTTGCACATGGTTACCCAGCAAGAACTCTCAGCACATAGACTCAAATCCACACCTGTCTGACCCTAAAGCTTGTTTGTACATTGTGTTCAAGACCCCAAACTTAAGGTCTTCTTGTGGTCCAGTACTTCACCATTCACACACATCTTGGCTCCATCAGAATGGCCTTTCGTGTTCACTACTTCAACATCAAAACCCTTTATTGGTCTCTGTATTTTGTTTTGGGCCATAAAGGATAGATCTCTGTCTGTTGACTATCTGGTAGCATTGATTTTTGACTTACCTCATTGCATCTTTGATCTACCACATTTAAGTCAACATTTCCACCTGACACTTTTCAAACTGAGTCCCTTATAAGATTTTGTGCATGTGGCATTCTAATCTCTCTCTCTCTCCCTTCTTTTCCCTCTCTGTCTTCGTGCGTGCGCGTGTGTATGTGTGTCCGTGCACGCGTGTGTGGGTCCATCTTTCCCTACAGTACACTTCATTTCTCACATCTAAGGATAAGGACATTACTGCTCTATCCTTTAAGTGTCTTAAGCTTTCCCAGTATATGGACTCTACTAATAAGCACTTTTCTTGACTTTTGTCTACTTATACAGTTATAAATTCTAAGTTAGATCCCAATTTTTTACCTCCTAAAATATTTATCAAAAACTCTCTTGGGGCCCCATTTTCAACCAATACTACCAGCTACCTAGGGGCAATCTATAACATAATTTTAATACTTTAACAAGTATTACTAACACTTTAACAGTCATTACAATTGCTAGAATCTTGATAAGGGTGGTTAAAATAGAACTACTTTTATTAGTTCATAATTACAATAGTGTGTTTCTTTCTTTCAACTTTATTTTAATGCTATAATTTGAATGATTATTCAACAGACTTGCTGGCAAGCATCTGGAAGATATCAGTTTGAAAGAACTAAATACTAATTCTCTTATTATAAGAGAAAAATAAAATTTTAAAAGTTTCAAAATTGTATTCATGTTGAAAAACATCCAACATTTTTGTCCTTTGCTACAAAAATGTAATTATTACACATAATCCATATTATAAAGGACTTGTAAATTATGAATTCCATGTGGAAATGTATTTTCTACTCCTCAGCATAACCCCCAAGTAACATACAGTTAATTCTGCCCTTGGGGTATCATTCACATTTAATGTATCACTGATTTGTTGGAAGAAAAACTGTCTCTCTTTAGCACATGTCCAAAAATAAAAATGAGTAGTGTGCATTACAGAATGTGCTCATTTTGTCCATGATGGAAGGAAGAGGTTTTTTAAGAGAAGTCACAGAGTCAATTATTGTCTTAAACCTGGATAGGACAAAGGCTATGAGTTATTGGAAATATAAAACCTAAAATTAAGATTATACATTTGTCACTTTTATAACCCTGTTTTACTCTTTTTTTTTTTTTTTTTT